TTCATGTTCAGAAAATCCACAACGAACAGTTCAGTTGTCCACACGAATTAGGAGGGAAAAAAGATTGTCGTTCCAATCGTGCCTTGGCTACATTTGCAGTATCATTTTATTGTTGTTTCAGCACAAGGTTCTATCCATCTGCTGTTTAGGCAAGTGCAGCATGTGTAGTTTTGGGATAGCAGGACCAAACTGAATCTCTGTACATGAGCTATCATCATTTCACAAGTAGTAGCACCCATGTTAACTGTGGCAAACTTTATAGCCAACTCTGTGGCAAAAGAAATTAAACAGTGTTATTTCCCATCTGTCGCGGCGACGGCAGAGCGATTGGGGGCGGTCGATGGCGAACAAGCCTAGGAGGAGGTTTATCACCAGCAGCTCATGAAGTACCTTGATTCCCCGTCTCTCAATCATTGATGTTGGCTCTCACTCCGGTGCCTCACGACATAGCTGGTTCGTTTCCTCTCCTCTCCCTCACGCTCATGGATTCGATCAATCACTGCATCTACTATCAAGATTAGATACTGCATGATTAGATGGTTTTAAGAGACCAAAGTGTAGATCATACTTGATTGATTCAGCAATTGACACCCTTCTGTGCACAGTCAGCATGTAGTTACAATTTATTTACATTCGTCAATGCAGAGGGAATGCCCAAACTAACAAGCAGCTATCTTTTTTGTTATATTTACTAGTCACCGATTCTGACCTTTATTTTCTTTCCATTGGTGACCAGAGATTTGCCATGCAAGATGACTCGTCGAAGAGGATGTCTTCATGTCCTGCCAGTTCAGCTCCTTGTTTGCGTGATGAATCCCCGCTGGAGCCCCTCTCTTCCAGATAGCACATGTAAAGTCAAGCCCTTGCACTTGACATAATTTACAATTTATTCATCTTTCTTTTGCGAGGGGAATTACATTATTCATCGGCATAACAACAGTTCACATGCTCTTCAAGCACACTGATTTTGGTCTTCTCAATAGACTCACAAAAATTTTCTCATTTACTGGGCATGTAAGGTCAAATGGTGCATGCTTTAAACAGATAGTTCTTTTTTAAAAATCCTACGAGGATGAATCACCCACCTGAGTTTCAGCAGATAATGCACCTAAAGCTGTTATAAATGTAGACTCTATATTTTATTTTAAGCTGTCGCATTGTCATGGAAGTACTAGTAATCCAGTACGTGCATTTGCATGTAGTGACTAATACAAAGGATACAATAACAAGCCTTTTGGCTGTTAGAGGAAACTACATAGCTAAAAAGAATATATAATTGTAGTAGAAACAATTGGCAATTCAATTTTGTAGCTGCCCATGATGAGCACACAGGCAGCTTAACTCTGCCCATTCTTCCGTCTTTAGTCACTAGTGATCTATCAGCTCTCTGTTGGTTGACCAATTAATTGATTAGATACAATGCTCGGTGGTTTCCTTTATGTGAAACATGGTAGTGCTGGTGCCTGACAAATCACCAGGTTTGACTTTTGCAGAATATAGTTTGTGCCTAGCCCCTTACCTTTGGTGTTTATGTAGGTGCCAGGATCCTGGAGTTGACAAAACCAAGTCTAAGAGGAACTTGTTCGATAACGTCAGCAACCTTCTCACCAATTTGTTTTTTAGCGGCAACCTCAAGAATATGCTGGTTGCCGAAGGTGCTTTCACTGATCTGTTCGACCGGCCCCTTCGCTATTCGCTCTATGATTTGTTCCTCGGGGTGCTTATCCCGTTATATCTCTTGTTACTTACTGTTTTCATTATGGTGCTTTGTTCTACCTATGTCTTCTCGGCATAGCCGGTCCCAAGCCCGGGTAAAGGAGGAGGGTTGTGATAGGCTTGGCGAGCCAACGTAAAAACTAGCCAGTCCCATAGGTATGAAACCCATTTGAGCGAGAGTAGTACTAGGATGGGTGACCTCCTGGGAAGTCCTCGTGAAAGGGTTTCATGTCTAAGGGTTGTGATAGGCTTGGCGAGCCAACGTAAAAACTAGCCAGTCTTTTGGGTGTGAAACCCATTTGGGCGAGAGTAGTACTAGGATGGGTGACCTCCTGGGAAGTCTTCGTGAAAGGGTTTCATATCTAGCCTACCTCAACTTTTTTGGGATTAAAGGCTTCGTAAGCAAGCAAGCACAATACTTATCAGATAAAGTTATATATGGGAGAGGTTTTCTAAGGGTGTTTGTTAACTACAGCTAGTGACATTGCTATATCAGAGTATGTTAACACGCACATAGGCTTTTGACCTTGATTGGTTTCTTGCCAACTATTTTCTGGAGTTGTCTCTTTGATCTTTAATTGAACATCACTATTGCTGCTACTCTTGGAGGAAGGATTTGACCATGAAACAGCAATCCCTCTCATACAACAATAACATCTCTTGCTTTTGTCGACAGTTTTTTCAAGCTATATACTGTTTCCATTTTCTCCTCATTTTATTTTCTCTTATCTTCAGGAAACGAAGTAATCGGGTGGTGGTAGCAAGCAGGAGAAGAAACCATCACAGATTTGTCGGTTGGAGCCTACACATTTTTCAATATTGTCAAGGTCAGAATACAAAGGTTCCAATTCATTATAAATTCGGAGCCTACGAATATACTCTCCCCCGTTGATGTATTTGTAGCTTTGCAATCAGTGGGTGGAAGCTATTGATTGGTCAGATAGAGCATATTAACATTCATGTGTTAATATGAAATAAGGCATTTTGATGCGGCGTGTGATGAATTTCATTCTGGAAGAACCAGGAGGTCCAGTTGGACCTGTTTGCCACTAGGCTTGACAAAATGATGCGATCCGATAGTTAACTCGTGAACTTTCATATGCAAACTTAGATTATTCCAGTTATATGTTGCTTTTAGATATCTCTTGTTTTACCTGTAACAAGTTTCAATTCGAATAAGAAAGACTTTTGAGGACACGGATGTGCCTTTTGTAGTTCACTTTCTGAATTTGCTATTCTTGGATTTGAATTGGGCTACTCCATGGAGAAACCGAATTTGCCAGTATTCTGGGAAGCTCAGTTTGGTGATTTCTCCAATGGTGCACAAGTGATATTCGACCAGTTTCTGAGTAGTGTAGCAGCCAAATGGCTCCGCCAAACTGGCCTTGTTGGTCTACTGTCTCATCGTTATGATGGCAAGGTCCTGAACACTCCATCTCCCGTCTTGAGCGCTTCCTTCAGGTAATTCACGGAACATAGTTTTTCTTGTTTTTTCTGTATCATGCTGCCAATAATCATGTCCAGTAAGAAGCAACCTCCTGTTTTGCATCTCTGTCTTTGATAGTTCTATAACATGCTGTTGTTGTTTGTTGGTTTGAGATGTCCTGTCACTATTCAAGGAAATGCGATTTGTTTTACAACTTTTGATAGCTCAAGTTGTTATGGTGATAGATTTGCTTTCATATCATGGTCTTTGATAGCTTGTTTTCATGATCATACTGAAGTGCTTCATCATACTCTCAGTTTTCAATGCTACCAGCTGGCAGCACTTGGGTGTGTGTGACCGCATGTCCTTATTTTCCCTAGCTTACGTACAACTGATGGGGTTACTTTGGTTTCCTTTCCTTTTTGGTTTGCCAAAAGTATGTTGTTCCCTGGTAGCATCGGTCTACACTTGTTTCCTGGTAGTAGCGTCAGCCAGCACTTGGTGTGAGATTTTCTACTATAACACATTGAGTTTGTGAAGTTGCTCTAGTTTCTGATCTATGCAATGCATTTTGCTGTACAGAAGGACCAGAGAGAGAAGGTGAAGAAAAAGGAAAAGCCCCTACTGTTCATTTTTCCATTGAGTTGATTTCCTCGCTGTCCATCATCATGGTTTCAGTTTATCGGTATAAACTGGCATGACTTTTGTTTTAATGAATTGGCATGTTTAGTCAATTTCTAAGGAGTATTTTTCAGTTTTTATAAGAACAGAGCTGATTTACTTGGTCTTGGTATATGTTTGTTTATTTTGAGATGGTTCTAGGTCTTATGTTTTTGCTGAAGTGGCATGATATAGCAACCATTGATCATGGTTATGCAATTCTTGGCCATGCTAGTATTCTCTACTAAATCTTTTACCGAGTGTTAGTGCTGTGGTTTGTGTTGCTGCCAAGTAGCATGGCATACTTGACCCATTCTCATGTGTGGTCCTGTGCGCAGTGAAGATAGTGATATGATCGTTTCACTGATCAACTTGTCTTGCCAGATTTACAAGTAGTCATTTATTTACTGCTCTTGACTTGTTTTACATGGGATTTTTGATGTGTTAAAATTGTTGTTGTGCTTCCGATTCTTGGCATTGACAGTCTGGTTCCATCGAGATCGATGATGAAGATGTCAGTGCCCATGGAAGTGGCAAGCAGATCACCAGGCAGAAGTTGAGGCGATCATCAGTTACCAGTAGTCGTCATGAAGAAGCCAAGGCCATGCAGCTGTTGGTGATGGGACCTGTCAGGATGCCCACCAAGGTGCTCAACATCAGCACCAGGAAGTCCCCCCTGTGGCGCAAGGTGACCTCTCCCGCCTCTCTGCTTGATCCCATTTACTTGGTTGATCCCTGCCAATATTGTGTGGTATATCCTTGGTGAATTTGTCATCCCATCAGTACTGAAATTGAGTTGAAATGCTTATAACAGAGCCATGCTTGTAACTGTGTCAGATCATACAATGTTGAACTTAATGTTCCTTGGTTTGCATTCTTGCACTAGAAAACATGATTGCAGTTTATTTGAGAAGACCCATGTTTGTAATCATGTGAGATCATTGGATTTTGAGCTAACATTTCATTGGTTTGCGCTAAGAAGCCCGTTTGTTTACCAACGGTTGGTCTCAGCTACAGAAACAATCACTCTTGTACTGATGGTATCTTGGTTTGCGTCTAGAAACACATTTGTTAAACAATAATCAGTCTCAGCTACAGAAAATACCGGTTAATGTACTGTTGGTATCTTTTAAAATACAAATAACTCTATGGTTTGTACAGAAACAACAACGTCTGGCTGTGTTGAGAGCTATAGACATAATGATTCTCATATAAGTAGGATATACATAAGATGTTTAAAATGACCAGAATCACGCTTCTCACTTTCTGCCATATTAAGGCACTTGGTTGTGTAACCAAGAGCCCATTTGTGGTTCTAGTTATAATTTACTGTTATGTCATAAATAGGATGATTTTGACTTGCTCTTGTGTCCAGATTAGAACTTTGTAACTGTGTCAGACCGTTGCATTGTGGACTAACAGTTCCTTGGTCCGCATTAAGGAACCGTTTGCTAAAAAACCAGCCAGGTGGTCTCACCTACAGAAACTACCACTCTCTTTGGTGTCTGGTGATAGTATATCTTTTAGAAGACACAAATAAGTCTTTTGTTTCTACAAAAACAACAGCATCTGGTTATGGTGAAAGATATAGACATATTGTGCTCATATCAGTAGAATATATGCACGAGATGTTGAAAATGGCCAAAATCACACTTCTTGCTTTTGGCCATACTAACGCACTTAGTGGTGTAATTAGGCTGCATTTGTGGGCCATGCTTGTGTGTTTGATTCTACTACGTCCATTCCAAAATATAAGACGTTTTGGAATGGAGGTGGTAATTAGCTAGGGGATTGTTTACTGGTTGCAGTTAGATTTTAGTGTTGTGTTTTATAAAGGATGATTTTGACTTACTATTTGCGCGTCCAGATTAGATATATGCATCTGCTTTTGGGAAATAACACAATGCTAAATGTGACATTGAAAATTGAGGATGTTAACCATTATATCCCCTTCCTTATTTGTAGAATGTAATTGTGTCAGATCATTGGATTGTCAGCCAACCATTCCTTAGTTTGTATTAAGAAACCGTTTGTTAAAACTTAAAACAGCAGGCAGTCTAAGCTACGAAAACTATTGCTTGCTCTAGTGGTAGTATCTTTTAGAAGACACATATAAGTCTTTGGCATCTACAAAGACAACACCATCTTGTTATGGTGAGAGCTGGCACTTGGTTGCATAATCAGAACCTATTTGTGGTTGCTGTGTTTGTGTGCTAGAGTATATCGCCTTGACTTCACATCTGAATGGCAATAGCATATCTCTCACTTTATGTTGCATCTGGTTTTCTACAGTCTGCTATTGTCTGCAAATTTTGTATTGTGTTGACTTGTGACCCCTTTTGGTTGTCTTGATGTTTGGATTTCTTTACGATTTGGCACTTTTGCTGGTGATATGACTCTGATGTTATGTCTTTTGCAACCCGGTGCAGAAGCCCGTGAACTCGTCTGTGTGGGCCTCCTGGGGTGCGATGGCGGCGGTGGCGGTATACAGCCTTGTCTACAACTGTGCGGTAAGTTCATGGTTTTCCTCTGTCCACCCCTCTCCCGGTTGCTCTGAGACCTAGCCCTAGAGCTATGGCTGCTCAGTGTGCCGGTCATCGAGCCATGGTTTATTATGTGATGGTAGACTCTCTAGCCATTTCCTTACACCAGTAGTATTGTTACTGTTCGCATGTTCAAGCTTTTTGATATGCTCTCGGTTAATGATCATGACTTCACTTTGTGAATGGTCTTGCCCTGCTACGGGTGTTATCATCTTTGTTTTTGTGGGCTTGCTAAATAATTTTAATCATAGATATTCTATGGGTGTTTCTGAGATTCCCACATAGATTCAGATTATACTAGATGGTAGCTTAGCTTCTTTTGTTAGTACTGGTGCATGGTTTGTTCCGGATTTGATGTAAAGCATTAGTCTTGATATGCAAGGAACAATTCATCTAGGACGATGTTTTGCTGAATCCAACTGATTGTTGTTGTTTAGACTTGCCAATGGTGCATTGTCTGTGTAGCAGTGTTCCTTAAGTTTTGACAAGTGAAGCAATAGGACACATGATGATGCTAGGTTATTTGTATTTTTTCAGCGATGAACTCGCGAACTAGTTCGCAGGCGGCCTAGTCCTTCCAGTGAGCAATGATATGTAGGATCTCTCAAAGAAAATTCTCATTCCATACATACTGAGTGTCTTTCCCCACTCTTTTGTTTTTAGCTTGTCATGGCAAGATTTCTTCCTGGCAAGTTAAATATATGTGAATGTTCATCAACATGCAAAAACTGAGTTGCAGTTATTTGATGTTTTGCCAGGGCAGTTTCTACGAGATGCAAGCATGATTGTGCTTGTCGCCCAGGACCAGGATGTCGACGTATGGTGTGCACCAGGAGGCGAACTCGTGCGGCTCAAGGACAGATTGTTGTGATGATCTATCTGGGTTGTCTAGAAAAATCCCAATTTTGAGTGAAGAGTGGATCCTGTTTGCTGCAATCTTCAGTACGTATTGGATCCCAATTCCGTTTGTTTCTGGGATGATGCAGATTTTTTGCCTGTCTATACTATAACTTGCTGAGAAGAACCAATTGTCGCAGATACTAGTGTCGATGTTGCCTAACCATTGTTCGAGGCTGAAGAAGCAAATAGATGATCTGGATGAGAAGATGGTGGTGACTGACTCTTCTCCCGAGTCTTTGGCGTCCAAGTAGATCCAGGTGAGTACTTTAGTAACTCAGGCCATATGATCTGGGGCAACGTTGCTGCATGACATTATTTGGCCATCTCAGTTTTTACTGGTTGCACGACTATAGCTCCTTTAGTAACCCAGGCCAGTATGGCCATTCAGATAAATTTGGCCATCTTCAAGGGATACGAAATGACCACTCAAGTAACCCAGTTCCAGTGTAATACGGACATGAAGTAAAGCACCAGATCATAATTGTTGTAGCGGCCCTTGTTCTACCTTGGCACCTCGTGCCAACATAACAAACTGTTTTTATGCAGTTGTGATGTAAACTGCCGATCCATGTCTTTTGATAAGCAAGCACATTTATCTAGATGTCATGTTAGTGTGTGCTTTGATAGTTGCATGTTGTCCGTCAAGTAAGAGTGCATTTACCAACCATACCAGGATCCATCTCAATACGAGTTAGCATCTGATAGTTGTTGCATGTTCTTTTCATTTTGTTGGTACAATTTCTGTTTGTCCATAATCTTAGAGCCTAAGTACTATTTATGAGAATTTCCTGAAAGTGAAATATGACAAGAAAACTGGACTGGTTAAGGTGTTATGTTTGTAAAAACTCTTGCTAACAGATGCTGCTAAGCTAGCTATGTTAAATTTCCTGAGGTGGTTGATAAGAACTTGTGGCATACTCGACCTATTCCAATGTG